TTTTTTTATATATATTTTATAAATTGTGTTTGTTAGAAATTATATTTAAATACGGATTACATATTGATATTATATTATACTATTTGTTAATTTCTTTCAATAAAAAAAAAGTTTATGTTTAAGTTGATTATCGATAAAATGGATTATTTGAAAACACGAATAAAACAACCTTTTTTGAAAATCAATAGTAGCTAGATCGATTTATCGCCCCCGAAATCTCCTGTATACTAAATTTAATGAAAATTGTTGGAGCCGTTTCCGAGATTCAGATTATAATATATAAGATTATAGTTCAGTCGTTAAGCATAGTTTCAATAATTGGCGGCAGATTTGTTGCTAGTTTTGGTAGGCAGCGGTTTGGCTCTGCCCCTGGCATTGCTGACGTCTATGAGCGACGGTAACTATTTACCATCAGGTGGGCCGTAAGATCGTCTGCCTACAAAGGCAATAAAAAAAATAGTAGTAAAACACTTGAAGTTGTCGTTGTCTAAAGGATAAAAAGTTATGTGGACTATGATGAACATCGTGCAATAAAAAGAAACTGATACTATTTATAAAAAAAAATTAATCCTGTGGTAGGTCGTATAATGCACTGGTATCCATCCAGCTCCGGTCTATTTTTGGTGAAGTCTTTCTTTTTGGGAAAGTTTCCAAGATATCGTGTTTATATTATTATGTTGTCTATGGGTTATAGCAACCACTAGATTACAGGTTGGCTATGAGTTGTTCTCTCAGCCTTAGCTCAGCAATATTTATACACGTAAATTTTTAACTTCGATCGTAAATCGAAACCGGAGTCCAGTATTACTAACCAATATTACCAAAGACGCGATCAAAAGTGAGCACTTTTGAGTAGCTTTTTGAGTGTTTGAGCACTGTGATGTAATGAAAATAACTGATGTAAAAATAATACTTGATTAGATTTTAAACTACTGAGACTGTAGCACAAAGCCATGGTAACAAAAATGGATCACACGTTTTTAAATCGGGTCATGGTATTTAAAATATTTGGCACCGGTACAATTGTAATTATTTTGAGTTATTAAACCGAGTACTTTCTCTTGTTGGGATAATATAGTCTAATGCGTTTGTTTGTTCGTGATCTATCGTTCGAATACCGCCTATTTGTTTGACATGAAACCAACGCGTGTAGAGCTGCGTGCGTTCCTAATTATTAAATTAATACACAACATAATAGAAACTTTACGAGAGTATTTCATACACAAATTATTCTCATTTCAGTACGGCTCCAAGCGCTATTCGCCTGAGGGTTGGCAGCACACGACGTGACTCCGGTGGCAGGATAGTCTGGGTGTCCAATGTGACTGTCCATCCACAGTACGGGAACCCTCAGTTTGACAATGACATTGCTGTGCTCCGCTTGGCCCAGCCGTTGCCGGTCAATGCTGCGATACGACCTATTAGATTGCCACAGAGAGGCCAGGCCGTGCCTCTCGTCCGGTTGACTGTCACTGGATGGGGATTGACTGCTGTAAGCTGTCCACTATTGTTTCCAACTTAGCTAATTCACTCCTGATCACTGCATAGCAGTCGTTGGTGGTAGCGGCTGTCCTAAAATTTGTGTCAGAAATTTACAGAACTGTACTGCCGATGTCTATGGGTCGTGGTGATTCGCACTATCAGCAGTGATTGTCCATTTATCTATGCCAAAAAATCCTCATATAATAGCTTTAACAATGTTTACCCAATATCATTTGGACTCACTTTTCTTCTGTGGGTGTTTTGGACAAAGCGCATTGATTTGTCCAGAGATGATTGGTTGTTATGTAGGTATACTATTATATTGTATTAGCCCACCGCTACAACAAGCTTTTGAGTTAATATTAGTATGAGACATTTGTGTTCACACGAATTCTTTTTTTTTTTTTTTTTCTTGCTTAAATGGGTGAACGAGGTAAGTGGTTAACCTCGGGTTAAGTGGTTACTGGAGCCCATAGACATCTAAAACATAAATGCCGCCACCCCCTTTGAGATATGAGTTCTAAGGTCTCAGTAAAGTTACATCAGCTGCCCCACCCTTTAAACCGAAACGCATTACTGCTTCAGAAATAGACAGGATGGCGGTACCTACCAGTGCGCCCGTGCGCCGATTCACAAGGGGTCCTATCACCAGAAAACAAGAGGTCTTGTTTACTGATACACTGTGACTGTGGTCTCGAAATTATTAAAATCCGTGGAAGTTCACCCTCATCTCTTGTACGAAACCATTGCTTTTTTTTTTAGCCTCGTGGTCGAAGAATTCCTCGTATAATGATGGAGGCTCAAGTACCAGTTGTGCCTCACTGGTTATGTCGCTTGTCCTATGGTGACGCGTTGACCGGGAATATGTTTTGTGGTGGACATTTTCTTATCGGAGGAGTATCATCCTGTCAGGTAAATGTGCATTCAAGTATATCTGTTTAATGTTCACTACGATGGGCAGTCAAGCCACACGTGTTACCACATGCCAAACATCTAAACTCATTCTGAGACAGTTTTTCCTTTATTCGAGCACCGTGACAGTCCTATCCTTCAAACCAGAAGCTTTCACATTAGACACTAGCTGGACGGTGGTAGTCACCCACGCGGACTTGCACGTTCTTAGGAGACCGGTCTTAATGGAGTTTGTTTTGGGAATATTTTATTACGGATTTAGTAGACCACTCTTAATGGAGTTTGTTTCATTCTTAGAGCATCTTGGTTTACAGGGTGATTCCGGAGGTCCAGCAGTCTTCAGAGGGACAGCGTTCGGCATTGTATCATTCGCCAGAGGTTGCGCCCTTCCATTGTCCCCCACCGTGTTCACCAACACAGCGGCCCTTAGAGATTGGATCACGGATAACACTGGAGTTTGACGAGCTACATTCAGTCATTCATATTTAGAATTTTAATTTATAAATTTGTTTGTCGTAAATGTTTAATGAGTTGCTTAATAATTTTCAGTATGTTTTGACTTAAATTTATTGCATTCCTAATGTACTGCAGTGTAATGATGAATGATGCATGAATATGCTCTTATTGATGTCTACTGGCGCGATACTTCGTGGGACATTCCTAGTAGTGCCAGCAGCAACTTCAACCGATTTCATAGAAATCTGTTCAATATCGTATGAACGCTTCGGAGACAAACATACATACATTTATTTTTATTGAATGTTGGCAAGTTCTCAATCGCGTCCTCGATATTTTGAGTAGTCTTTTAGTGAACGCAGCGATGCGATGAAATAAAAAAAGTGTGTGTGTCCGCTCCGACGCACGACTGGAGTTTACTGGATATAAAAAATTAAACGAAACAATACGAGAAATAGTTCTATATTACGACAACACGATACACTACAGATTATTAACAAATTAACGAGACACAAAACAAACGACTAACAAATATATGAAAATACAATAATGAGAGAAACGCGCGATCAGTACGAGGCTTTGTGGCGGACTGCCGGCGCAGCAGCCCGGCGTCACCTGCGATAACGCGGCCGCGCGTTGTCTCCTGATTGGCGCGCGCACGCATCAAGGCAATCAGGAGCCAATCAGGCGCATAACGCATTTCGTGTGACATGCTAGTACGATTTTGGTCCCCATAATTTTCATACCCCGGGCCTATATATGTAAATCGATTCTAAAGGAGTAAACTCCAAAAACTTTAACATCGTCGTTGTTAAACAAATATCTGCTATGTGCAGTTTTTGGAAATTTAGAAATTTTAAAACATAGTCATAAACAAATTTTCACATAAAAAGAAAAAAACAACGTTGCTGTATTTTTTTGCGCACGGCAGATTAACTTAACAAATTTGGTACAGGGTGTATCAGGTGTGATCATGAGCTCACCTAAATAACTATTGTTTTAACAGTTTTAAATTTATTTAACACGGGATGAGTATCTCGCGAAACTCGTCGGTAGATCACCGTATGTGACTGCGTATTAACGATCCTTTTCTCCTGGACCTATTATGCATTACAGCGCAGATCCAAGGAATTTCATATAACAAAAAAGATACTGGTATAATCAAAATGGTCAAACCGCGATACTGTACGTTGGGTAGTTTCCTATTATAAGATAAAGATTCCGAAATCGAAGACAGCTGGTAGAATTGGTGAATTCAAAAATGATTTTGTTAAAAATAACGTATAAATGTTTTGATAAAGATATTTGTACAGCACGCAATGTACAGTACTAAAAATAAGATGACGTGCGGGGTCGACGACCTTGCGCGACGCGGGGAGACGTCCGCTGGCTGTGTTCGATTCTTAGACTTTCAGTAATTTTCTTTCCAGTTCCGGAAATTATTACCACATAGATACTAACTATGGAAAGTAGTATCACATTTCCAGTCACACGTGACCTCACGTGAGAATGATAAAAAACACCTCTCCTCTACTTATTTATAAATTTTACATTGTTACAATGAAAATTTACAGTATTATTGTGTTATTTGATTGAAATTAAATTAATAGTAAATTAATTTTTTAAATTAGATAGTTATTAAGAGATTATGAAATTAATGTTTTGTGATTTTTATTTATTATTGTGCCGATCACCTGTTAATGGGGTCAATGATTTGTATTTTTATAATTAATTAGAAACGGAACAAATTCGTTTCTTTAAGGTTGTTTTTTGTTATTTAATAAACTGTGATTGTCCTTCACGCCTTTTAATCACATTCATTTGACCTAGAACCTTCTGACTAATGGATGAACAGACTGTTATCACCTTATGCCTACCTATTAACCTTCTCCATTTATGTATATTTTCTTATTTAATGTACCTATAATTTGATTACATTTTTCTAGAAAAAGAAAATTGGTAACGAGTTACAAGTAATAAGAGTGTGTATCAAATAGTATCGATAGCTAATTAAGGTAGAATTTAATAATCAAATTCTCGTTATTTATCTACTACACTTTATCTTCTTACTTGCAGTGATAATTGAGTTGCCCAAAACAGTGACGAAGCTTTTAAAAATTAACATTAACTCAGTCTTTTTTTCTCCACAGGTATACGAAATGTTTTTAATAGGTTATCAGTTCAGGGTCCTGTCACCGATCTTCACGATCCACTGGGGTCTCCAGGCGAGGCGTAACCGTCCTCTCTGGCGCGAGAAGCAAAACGAGAAAAACCGAAAGCATTTCGAGACTTTCAAACGCGAACTGTTCGCTAGATATAGGAGGGATCCTCTACATCTCCTGAAGAGACCACAGCAGAAGAAAACATAGGCTTCGCAAGGCCGTGCGACTGCTGTTGCCGGCCTTATAGTGACACTTGTGTTTTGGACAATATGATCGTTGGTTGTATTGGCACAATTAGACCAATGTTTGGACAAATTTGGCTTTTGTAGTGTAGCCTGTATATTGTATATTTTGGTCAGTTAACCGTTATTTTGGCCTAAGCTAGATTATTTTAATGTGACTTAATATTTTCAAAAAAGAAGACCGTGGCTGATGTACGTAAACCGTAAATGTTAATATTTACTACCAGAATTGACGTAGGCTGTGCTGTCTTTTTGGAAACAGAGCACCGTAATGCTCAAATATAGTTTGGTGGTAGGGCGTGCAAGGGTTGGCACCTCCGCCAATATTGGATTCTGTTTGGATATGAATGTCCTTTTTCCAATGTTATTGGCACTTCCGATATGATTTTTTCACACCTGAATGTGGAGGCCTTTCGTAATGGCTAGATCACTGGGCCTTAGTCTATACGCCAATGAAAGAAAAACACAATTATTTAAGTTAAGATTTTACAGTTTTAATTTTTTATGATCTAGTACTGAAATAACTGCAAGTCTGACTGATGTCAGATACCCTAGTATGGACAACAAGTGATAGAAGCAAGTATTTTTAATTAGTATCATTACGTTGCAAATTAGTAGTAGTAAGTGTATTTATTTAGTGTAATTCAGTTATACGCGTTTACATATTAAATAATAAGACTGTTATTATTTTATAATAAAGCAGCGACTGACTTGTGAAAACGGTATGCGCGATCTCCTGAAATGAGCGCACCAAAATCGGAATATGCATAATATGATAGTTCTCTATTTTAATTTATTTCAATAGACGTTAATGTATATGACAGTTGCAAAATAATATTCACGTTTGAGAGTATTTTTGAATACAGTAGATATTGCTATCAACATGAGCGATGATTATGCTTATGTTCGGATGCGTAATGTGCGTTGTTTCCGGTCCGGTGAGCTTCCGGTGCACATCCAAGGCATTGTGCCCGTGTGAAGTGTCGAAAGCTTGATCGTTCACACCTTTATGAGGTTCGCATTAGAATAGAAAAAAATATATGACGTATAATACGCATATAACTGTAACTATACGGAGACCTTAGAACTTATCTCAAGGTCGGTGGCGCATTTACGTTGTAGATGTCTATGGGCTCCAGTAACCACTTAACACCAGGTGGGCTGTGAGCTCGTCCACCCATCTAAGCAATAAAAAAAAGAAAGAAATATAGGCTGAGGTTTTTCTCAAGAAAAGGAAGACGAAGCTAGAGAAAGACGCTTGACTGAGATCACGACTTAAACCCCATCAAAATTTTTGAGCTAAGCTTTGTTCACCTCAAAACATACAAGCAGATTAATTTATTTTATAAATTTGCATTGTTAGTGCACGCAGTAACTCTCTTCGTTGCGAAATCTATTATTCTTATAAAGCATGAGGAGTCATCTCCAATCTGCCGGAACGTGACCGCTTGCTTGTCTCTTTCTTTAGTGTAAGAAAACAGATACATTTTTATAGCAGTTACTCCAACTTTTTTGTTCGAATGTGTAATTAATATCACTAAATCGTATTTTAAAAAGTAAATTCATTTCACTGGCGATTTCTATATTTAAACTACAAATATGATGTTGATTAATGAGGCTTATTTCCTCTTATGAATGTAATATTAGTGTTACACACGGACTAAACTATGAGCACGATTTAAAAATGTAAGATAGTTAAACGTTCCTAATAAATATGTCCCAAGATGAATCAGTACAAATCACTTGTTTATATTTATGTATATGTTGTTGTCGCTTCTGTTGTTAAAGTTATACCATAATAATTAAGGAAAATATATACTGGGTTGTATTTGAAGAAGTCGCCGGCCGGTTTGAAGGGTGGACAGCAGTTACATGACATTCAAGTTCTAACGTCTGCGGGTCCCCTTAATGCCGTGAGCTTATTTGAAGACGGTGACATTGTATAGCCTTTGAAAATATTACCGCTCTATATGTAACTACAGAATAATCGAAGAGGAGAATGTAAGAGATAATCATTCTCTTACATCTAGAATTGACCTCTGGTAGTCAATCTTTTTTCATAATCTATTTAGTGATAATCAATAAAAATAGATCAATTTTATGCTGTATGTTATATTTAAATTGTATTTACTTTTATTGTCACTTTGTGAATGTCGGTTCTAAATAATTTAGATAATAGTCTTTATTTAATGTTATATTTTTAGTAAAGTAAGTTTTAATTTTGTTGATATAATTGATAAATAGTTGTTTATTTTGTATATTTTATTATTATGTTTGTTTTGTAATAAAGTTTTTGAAGTTTAACGCACATAAAAATAGTTTAGTGAATTTATTCAAATTGTATTAGTTACATGGTTAGTGCAATTTATTTATTATCTATGTATAGGTGTACCAAATATTTTGATGTTAAAATATTATTATATTACAGTATTATTAGCTAAAATCATTGACTTTTCTATTAACTTGACTTTAATGATAGAATCATTTTTCAGTTAAAATTACAGATGTATTTACATGCAACTGATTGAAATTTTTTATTTATTGTTATTATTTATTTAATTTGTTTATGTACAACTTTTGTCCCTTGAAATTTGTACATAAATAAGCCGCAAATAAACGTTATATAAATTATAAACTGATATTTTTATTAATAATTAATAATAATAAATAATTTTATTATTAATAGTATTAAAATCAAATATTATTAATATTCATTTTGGAACGCCATCCGCCGTAACAGAAACAGATTTACCCATTTAAAAGCTTCGTGTTGTTATAGATTTAAGGTAATTTAAAAACTAGTCAAACAGAGATTTCGTTCGCTTTTTTTATGTTTGAGGTATTACTGGTGGCCCGGATACCTCTCCAGTTGCAACAGGGTAGGTGGGCGAGCAAAGGCTCAGCCAGGAGGGGTGGAATTTGCTAACAGCTGCCTGAGCGCCTCCAAAGGAGACCTAACAGCTCAAGAGCAGCTGCTTCGCGAATGAATCTACTACCGGATCGGAATCGCGACCCGCTGAGAAGATTCGGCGAGAAACTCAGAGGGCTGATGTTTTTCTCGACGAATCTTCTCAGCGGGTATCGATTCTGTTGCTAATCGTTCGTAAAGTAGGTACTGTTCGCAGCTTAAAATACTAATTAATAATAAAGTTATGCTGCTTCCTCAGTGTAATTGAAGCGGTTACAAACGAACGAAATAGCTCGTATTTGACACCGTATAGCAGAGAGACATTCAGGTTATCGACAGTTTAAATTTGATGGAGCTCTTGAATCCTGTGTGGGATTATGGTGCTCTTTCTGCTAGGTAGTGTATGTTCCATAGGAGTTCATCCCTACTTTTTGAAACTTCTGCGTTCATTGATCAATATACGGCTAAGCTTTGAAATGAGATTTCCAGAGAGGAATCACTTTTTCAAAACGTTGCTTGGCGGTATGCAAGAATTAACTGTGTTCCTGTCATAGTCAGTGAGCGATACATGGATGGTGGCTCGGCCGGTGGTTTTTGCAATAAAGAACCATGACACTGGATAAGGATGAGCAGTGCACTCATTTGTTTATATAAGTACATATAATACTTTCGAAGGTCCTAAGCATTTTATTAAAAAGAATACCTCAGGATCATCTTTATACATCCAACTCGGAATCGCCAATTCTAAGTCTCGTATTGTTGCTGCTGCTGATATGATTATAAACCCAGTCCCATATGGCAGGATGCGAGAGTCGCGTGTAGACTCCTGGGAAATTTCCTCTGGCACAACCCAAGCCCCAAGATACCACGCCGATCAGCTCTCCTTCGAGGGCCACTGGACCTCCGCTGTCACCCTGTCAAATTTTAAATACTGTTAATTGAAATGTGTGGAATATTCTCGATAATTCTAGGGATGTGGTATAGGCTATAAAAGCGCTGCAGAGATGGCACGCAGACAGTAATCAGAACTACTGGAAGCGAAACAGCGAACGGATCACCTGAAGCGAAGAGGAAGAAGCGAATTTAGAATTTTAAAGTGTTCTGTGTGTGTTCTAAGTATACTTCTTACATACAGTATTAACTTGTACTTCGGTAGATTTTTTAAATTTATCCCGCACCCCAGCGCGTAGCAATATTTTTTATTATGTGGAAATTTTAACAGCTTCTCTCAAAATTAGCGTTATTTCTTTTGCCATTGGACAGTAGATCGTTCAATAATCACTTATCAAACCTCAGAGCAATAGGCGTTTGCTGAACCTCATACATAAAAAAACGGTGTAGATGCCGGTGTTTTGGTGCCTGAAGTTGAAATCTTGATAGCATAATAATATGTATTGCATTTGCATCTTTAATGTAGCGCTTATATTGTGCTATGAACAGGAATCTCGACGTCAATAAGTCTTGCAGGCTCATAGCCCTTAGACCAGCGAAGACCAGTCTTACTTGACAAGCATCAGGCGAAGACTGGATGAACGATCCGGCGCAGAACATGGATGCGGGATCTATGGCCTTGCGGTTAAGTGCTGATCTCTTGCATAGTTTCATGGGAATTGTTCGGATCGGGGAAGATTGCAAATATGTTGCGGACGGACCACCCTCCTAACAAGGAAGAAGGATGTTAGATCATTAGTAACTTTTGAATACGACGCACGTTTTGTCTTTTGTAAATCGTGATGATAATTGACAATAAGACCAATGATATTGCCAAACATTGGCAACATCAGATTTTCTATATTGATATGTACAGGACGAAATCACCATTGGTCTGGTGCTTAAGCGATAAACAGTACATAGGGTCAGCCTCTCAGTTGGTAGGGACTCCCAAGATTAAAAGCCATCGTTTTTTTTTTTTTTTTTTATTGCCCTCGTAGGCACACGAGCATAGCCAAGCTGCTGCCTTCTGTTAGTTGGATCACTAGAAACGAGAATACCGGGCTCATTATCTCATTATCTACTAGACTATGGACACTGAGGTTTTGCGTGGGATTTAGGGGTTGCAATGTGGGGAAGAGGGAGATGACGGTATCATCGTAAACATTTTTTTAATCTAACTCACCTTAATTTTCCCCCACCCTGAAACAACAGCCAACTTATTAGCCAATAATCTCTTCTCGCGGTCTATAAGTTTCAAGGGTAGTATTTTGTTGGTGAAGCGGAGAGGTGAATACAGGCGGAGTAGTCCTACGTCGTTGGCCTTGCTGCTGCTTAAATATGACGGATGAACTAATCTTTCTTTGACATCATACATTTCACCGCCATGCGATTTCCAGGACGAACCAAGGCGGATGCTCAAGTTTGCCACTAAATGTCTGAAGGAAATGGAGATGTTTCTTATAATAAATGTGTAAGTACATCGCAAGCTACCAACGGTGAGTTCTCTTGAACATACTTTACGTTGAGTACGTCTAAAAAGATGTTCAGCAATGGTTGTTAGGCTTCTCGTATGTATCTTTCTGATATACAAAACACAGCAAATTATTTCTCGAATTGTATACAAATTTAATGTATACATATAAATAAAATTGGAGTGTCTGTTTGTAATATTGAAATTACCGCTTTATACTTGTATTTTTTTTTAACAAGGAGACTTTATTAACGGCGGTAAAAGTAAAATAATAAACGTATAAAACCAATTGTTGCCAGCAACTTAAAACAAATACTCATATATAATAGAATAGCTACGTAGTTATAATAATAGAAAATATATTAAGTATTCGGTATATTCAGTAGGTATATCGTCGTTGTCAAACCAAAATCTGTTCTGTGCACTTATTGAGATTTTTACTTTTTGACTTTTTCGTATAGTTCACAGCGCTATCTACCGTATAAAAAAAACTTAGCGTCTATAGTTTTAATATTTATCTATAGCTTTCATTTGATATACCTGGTTCTTAAAAATTCACTTTCATATAAAATTTTATACGAAAATGTTTTTACTTACTTTGTTCAAGATAATAGAGTTTTTGCACATTTCAGATTTTGGTTTGACAGCGACGATATTATTAGGTAGTAAGTGGTTTTATTGACATTGTTGGTAGATGAGCAAATAGTCCACCGAGTGCTGAGTGGTTACCATCCCGGACTGGCGCCATGGTACAGGGTACAGTCAAATCGCTGCCTACCGCTGAATCTTCTCTACAAATCTCTTTTGCGGATCGACATATCATTCCAAAGCCCGGGAATTAGGTGGCTAAAAAATCTCTAGAAACTGAAAACTGTAGTGTAGGGCTTTAAGCAGTATGGCTGAACTCTGCTTCGGTGGCGGGCGATGCAATGGTTAAACGAGATGACGAATTATCTCAAACAACTCTTCAGATATATTGGGATACAGAGCTGCCTGAGATACTCTACCAGTATAGTGAGATTCAGGAAGTCATTAGAACGTCATCTATCAAACATTCGTATGAATTCGTGCAGCGGTTTGGTTTCACAGTGATTACTTAACATCAACTGGGCCGTATGCTCGCTCGTTTATAATGGCAATGCACAACATATTTTTATTATTTTTATGATGAGTGAGCTCGCTCATGGCCCACTGGTGTTGAGTGGTCACACAACCACTATGTGAATACCACAGCCCATCTTGAGACATCAGTCCGTCATGATAATCGCCTTATCGTTGCCGTCGCTGACTACTCCCCGAATCCTGAACATGCAGGAGCCAGTCACCGTCGACGCCCTAGATACGTTTTTACGGATCCATCAGATCCAATAACTTTTGCATTAGACGCCTTCAGCTGTAACACTAGGAGCAGGCTTAGGGACCCCGGTAACCGTACTCGTCGAACTCGACAAAGAGGTCGACGTGCAACCTAACCCATGCATCAGCCCGCTGAGTTTCTCGCCGGATCTTCTCAGCGGGTCGCGATTCCGGTCCGGTAGTAGATTCATTCGCGAAGCAGTTGCTCTTGAGTTGTTTTGTCTCCTTCGGAGGCGCTCGGGCAGCTGTTAGCAAATCCCACTCCTCCTGGCTGAGCCTTCGCTCGCCCACCCGTCCTGGTGAAACTGGAAAGGCTTCCGGGCCACCAGTAATCCTTCAATCCTAAAAAAGAGACATCAGCTCTAAGTCTCTGTTTTTAAAGTACAACGGCTGCACCACCTTTTAAAACGAAATGCTGCTTCACAATAGAAATAGGCAAGGTGGTGGTACCTGCTGCGGGCTCACAAGAAGTCATGATTGAAACAAAAATACTGACCTTCGTCAAGTTAACGTTGTTGACGCGATCTGATCGCGCAATTAGACTTCGATTAGACACGATCAACTATTTTGAAATGTGACACGAAATTTTATTAGAATAGTTAACTAGGTACTCAAAGTTTTACGTTTTCGATAAGTTTTTAAATTGTAATTACGTATACACAACTCACACAGCATAGCGTAAAATTTCAGTCGTATGTTCTTTGCTGACATTTACATACCTTTTACACGATAACTTTTTATTACATACTAGCTGACCCGGCAGACTTCGTAGTGCCTCAATCGATAAATAAAAGGCCTAAACTTTTGTTTAAAATAAACTTAAAACAAACAAAAGAAATCCGTCCGACACGGGACACATCAAAGGAAAAACAAAAATTTTATTTATTTCCGAGCATTTTCATATTTATTTACCTTTTAAATCTTCTCTGGACTTCCAAAAATAATTCAAGATCAAAATTAGCCAGATCGGTCCAGCCGTTCCCGAGTTTTAGCGAGACTAACGAACAGCAATTCATTTTTATATACTTATTTATAGATTATTGTCTTTACTTTATTCACATAAAGAGGGATTTTTAATCGTTTAGAACTAGGTACTTACTCATGATAACTGTTTGTGCTATGCGCCTACAGAGAACGCGGTCTTTTCCAAGCTTTCGGATAAAATACAGACACGATACCACTGCGTCACGAGAGCATTGTATATCGACAAAACAAAATGTTCCACTCGACGGCCCTAACGCTACAAACCCAGTATTATTCTCTGCAAGGTATCGCTTCTTTCACATTGAACGATATATTCGCACTCCGTAAATCCCATAAGACTTTTACATAGAGGCAGATATGTGTCGTCGGTACCCGAAGGATATAGATAGCTGTTTTACATCGGAAAAAAATACACCCAACCCTCGAGCACTGTGCTCCACTGTACATAGCAATTTAGGAGACGACAAGAGTGCGCGGAGTCGTATATGTTGCTCTATGTAAAACTTTTATCACGTCGCGTTTGGGGAATTCGAAAATAGCAGGAAATACTCCCAAAAATAGCACGTGTCTCAAATTTTATTAGTCGATCCACAAAAAATCTGTTTGTTATTAGATTTTTGTTTGCGGTACAAAATAAATATGTTTTAAGGCCAAATTTTGGTGTGAATAAGTGAATTACAGTACTAGTTGAAGCAAATCGCAAGTGGCAAGACGCGTCTCCGTCCCATTTGGCGCTAAGCAGCCGACCCTGTATGTCAGCTCGAAGTGCCCATAACGCTGGAATAAAGACTACTCTACCTTCGTGACCGAAACAAAAGATTGCTTCGTGATACAATTCGTTGTTACATAATATATCTTCTTGGTGGGATTTTATACTGTAGACTAATTTTTTTTAACAATTATTTAAATAAAATCTTATCCTAAAAATGTTCGCACATATATTTTTCATTTCTTCATTTTGTAACTTGAAATTCCTCAAAATAAAATGAGAATACTATTAATGCAGATGAACCCAATTTAATATGCATCTTAACTCAAAATTTTCTAGTCAGATTTAAATGGGATCATATATTGGGATTAAGCATTCACTGGCTTTCAAAAAAATCATCATCATTTCAAAATTACTCAGAAAAAAAAACTGAGATAACATATAAAAAAACCGTAAAAAATATGGACCATTAGATTTCTGTTGCCTCTGAAATCGAGTGGCATCTTGACCCGTGTTTGACCCCAGCTTAAGACGGAATACATACCTCAGTAAGCAATGTGCGGCGGATATAATCCATATCTCAGTTAGTATGGTTCCTCCACAGATCGGGTAGACTCTGTCCCTGATGGAGACCTGCCATGGTACCGAAGATATAGACGTGTTTTGTCCATACACTATTCTTCTGGTCGAGCCTGTATTTCGTTTTAAAATAACAGCTTTTAGGCGACTTATCATTACTATCAGGGGAAAAGATTTGATTTAAAAATATCAAACTCATGCAGTATCACCATGCTAAATGTTTTTGTCGCTAAGCATTAATACAATGCAAAACAAATGTAATTGCTATTTAAATTTCCTTGTCTCCAGGTTCGGTACCCACTCGACATCAGATTGACGAGACCTTGTCTATCCATCGACATCAATCACGAAAAGACCTTTATTTATTTCTCAGAATAAACAGTCGTAGTATCTCAAACTGGGTTATTACGTTAGACTGTCTATTCCGTGACCAATAAATAATTAAACTCCACGGTACTAAAGTTCTTGAGAAGGTATAAAAGATTAATACGTTTTAAGAACAACTTAAATAGATGGGAAGTCCTCGTGACCCGGATAAAAGGTCCAGCATGCACCTAGCGACCCGCCGGTCTTCAAACCTCATAGGCAGGTACTAATTTTACTCTTAAAATACGTAGATACTTAATTCATTTTGATGTATAATATTCACAATGAAGGAATAATGGCGGAGGACCTCTTGCACTGGTGTTAGGATATCTTGTGAGTCTGCACGGGTAGGCACCACCACCCTGCCTAAATCTGCCGTGAAGCAGTAATGCGTTTCGGTATGAAGGGTGGGGCAGCTGTTGTACTGTTAAAATTGAGACCTTACAACTCATCTCTCAAGGTGGGTGGCGGCATTTACGTTGTAGATGTCTATGGGCTGCGGTAACCACTTAACACCAGGCCGTTAGCTCGTCCACACACATAAGCAATACATAAATAAAAGTATCATGCAATTGAGAAATATAACTCAGGTCGTAAGGTGGTACCGGTAGTTAGATCGATCAATCCGTAACTGTACAAAAAGTAGCTAGAGGTTCGATAAAATTCTTTATGTCCACGCAGTATCTATCTATACTATTAACACCCCTGCTTTAGGTTTGCCTTAATCGAGTTAAGCACAAATAAACAAGCTCTTACCTGTAAGCTCAACTGATCGTACACCTAAAAGAAACATACAAAATACTCATGAAACTCCTTGGAGTTGGAATTAAGCAATAGGTTTTCTTTTTCCACGCATTTTTTTTTAGGTATAGATTTATATATCCACATAACATTATTGTCAAACTTAATGCGTTTCCATGGGTGACAACTCAATATTAAGTCGGTTGCCTATATACGACTATCTAGGAATTTATAAAAACACCAATTTATATATTTTTGAGCCCAACTCACGGCTGTGTTCAAACTTAACATACACTTCTACACATACTATTTAACATACCTACATATAAAATTTTAGCATAGGCAGTTGAAGAATAAGGTTTTCGTAAAAAAGCCTTTGCGTGACGAATCAATTTGGATTTTTTGATCTTATAATGAGACAAAAATACACTACATGACATATTGCTAGGCGGAAAAATACGTAAAATATAACTGCAACATTGGTGACGTCACCGCGCAGCTATCAACTCGGAAGACGACCTTCTGTCTTCTTTCATTGCGAGAGCACACGCACTGGCCTAACACACTGGAGTTAGTTTAAAAGTATTACTAGTTCATAACATTTTTAAATGCAACCATATCGAGAATTGAAAGGTTATTTTGGTGGTAAAAATGTTGCAAAACTTGAAAAAGTTAAAACTTTCGGAAAAATATCATAACAAAAAAAGCTTCTTTTTAGCTATTTCAATGAAGTAAGCTTTATTGGAGTTCAATTAAAAACATCGAACTGTTGATGCGCATACCAAATAAAACGCGTATTTAATTACAGAGATAAATGTAAATAAATGTAACTATACTTGAGACCTTAGAACTTATATCTCAAGGTGGATGGCGCATTTACGTTGTGGATGTCTAAGGGCTCCAGTAACCACTTAACACCAGGTGGGCTGTGAACTCGTCCACCCATCTAAGCAATAAAAAAAAAAAAAAAATGTCGCGTATTAAGTGGAATGTCGGTTAAATGTAATAATCTTTCACCCTGAATACCTAATGTGACCTAAAATCAGACTTAATTCATAATTCATAAGATCCGACTTAATTCAATATGAGCCCTAAAGTTTTTGGAAACATCAAGATCAGACCACTCACCAGTGAGTCTCGACAGTAAGGAGTAATACATTAACTTGTATTCCTGTTTCACTCTGGTCTTGTTTAAGAAGCCGAGTATATTAGATTTCTGAGATTCAGCATTCTCAGCTAACCAACCGTAATCTAAGGCTGGTATCGAGTCTAGCAATATATTTTCGCAATTCGCCAATACGAAATGTAAAAATAGAACCTTTAGGAGCATTGTAAGATTGGATTTGATTGATTTGTCAGTTGTATATAAAATGGTACGTGGTAAATTTGTTTTTTATTAAACGTCCGAATCTTTTATAATAGTTCTTTCTTTGATATATTGCAGGAGTTGTTTTTTTCTATGTCATCGTGTGCACTGTCCTTGTACTAAGTTGATTTCAAACGTATCATTTTGTGTTGCTTGTATTCACTATTTTCGGTTCGTTTTGGATTAATATTTTTCTGTGTCCTACTGTTTACGCCTTTGGATTCCACAGATAGTTTTTAAGATGAAAATCTTCATTAATTGAAGCGAACACGAGAATTGAAAATTCTAATTGAAATACATAAGGATTTTTATTAAATTTGGTTTCACAACAGTTTCATTATGCATCAACGCTATTCATTAAATAACCGTGAAATAAGATTTTGTATTGAGTTACTTCGTGACTAATCAAATTTCTTCTCAGTGTGTTGACTTCGTGTTTGTGTAGTTTTTATAATAATATGTTGTTTGTTTAAATTATTTTATTGTTGTCGATTGTCAACAAACTCGGAGCCTATCTGTTGTTCAATTAGAGTAGGGCTCATTGACATAGCTGACATGAGGTTTCAAGCTTCCTATAGTGTAACAACTCCTCCTAAACGGCTGAACCGATTTAATTTAATTTTCTGTGTACCTTCAAGTGGATTCGAGAATGGTTTACATTTACAAATCAGCCCTGCAGATGGCGCTGCAGTCGGTATATAGGTTATTGATCTTCCCCAGAAATAATTTATATTGTAAAACAACGTTTGCCGGGCCAGCTAGTATAACTATAATATATATAATATAAGTATAACTATATTTAAACCGAAGAGTATGATCCCCTCGCGGATGACCAGAGTACTTCTCGACCGTGGTATCTCCCCATGCAAAATACTGTAATATTAATTACTTTATAATTAGAAATTTTATGCGGTTGATTGTTACACGATCTTATTCTTTCGGCCTTGAAATCATAAGTGATATTCCTTACGTACGTGCTAATTGTTAATTTATTATTCAATAAGTAGCACTAGTTCAGTTTTGAAAAATCAGGTTATTATATCTTATACCGATATCTTCCTCAGACCTGAATGTCACTGAGAATGTATCTGAAGGACATTTGGATGAAGTTTGAATTAGTTAAAAAAAAACGCCTAGCTAAAAAAAATAGCAATATCTGTAATACGACTCGATTGATGCGTTGTCATTGCTATAATATTTGTTCAGTTCATACGGTGGAAGTAAAACATTTAAAGTGTTTTACCTAATTCTTTCACAGGCAAAATATTTATTTTACATAAATTTTTTTTTTCGTGTTTTCGTATCAACGAATTTAAACAATATTTATTTAAAATGTGCTTACGAACAACTTTCACGATAAAGCCATGACATCGCGTATCATGTAACAAGAATTGCGCTCGCTAAATTAATTGTAATTATCGCATCGGTAATTTAAATGCAAAATTAAAATATTTTTCTTATGACAGAAATTCTTTGCATTATTCCTTAATTGTTTTCATTGCATATTCATACGAATAATACGCCATCAGAGCTCTTTTTGTCAATAAGATCATTAAGGTTTCATTAAATCTGTGTTAAAAATTACATTTCGCTTCATAATTATCTACTTTGTATAAAGCTATCACAGCAATTTGGTATTGTTTATTCGTTTTATAATCATATTACTCCATTCCAAAATTAGGCAACGCACTGGCGTAAACGCTGGTGACCGTGGGCGGCGGTGAATCACTTACCATCAGGTGCTCGTTTTCCCGTCTTGCTTGTTTGCCTCTTAGTTGTTATAAAAAAAAAAAAAATACAAAATATAATATTTAACAAAAATTGGCGCGAAATGAAAGAAAATAGAATAAATAATATTTTGAAATATTCCAAATTCAAAATTTATAATAGTATTGGTTTTTAAATGTAATCTAGTATTACTTATGGCTAGACTGTGTTATGTATTGGACATAGCCTTGTAGCTTAATTACGCTAGTATTTACTAACCTGTTTACAACTGTTCAGTTTCTGAACGTCAAAATGGCAGCGAGTGACGTCCGCCATGACACTCTTTCTCTTTGAAATCCAGCCACCAAGAGCAACGCGTTAATTTTATATTTCTCTTATATTAAGTCTTTAATTTGTCATATAAAGATAAAATAAATATTATCTCAAAATAATAAATACAGTCCACGCTCAATAACCACAACGCAATATATGGTCCTTCGAGCCGAATATGAACCAGCGACCTATGGATACACAGTCCAGTCTTATTTAAATTAATCTTTATATTTAAAACTATACCTTATCTAGGATTTAGATAGTTTTGTAATATACTTTGATGTAACAATCTAAAGAATCAACAATTCGTTCTCTGAATAGCATTAATTAGATACATAGTACAACTTGGAAGCGAATCTTAACTTAGTTTGTGAACTAGCCCGACTGCTACGACGACCACGATTTCCATATATTTTTTAAGGATATAATATAATATTAATATAGTTCCATAATATTTGACAATATTCCAACTTACGTCTAAGTTCAACTTTCATAAAAATGACTACCAGACTTTACAACCTAAATTTTATCTTATATTTTTTTGTGTACTAATTGCCTTTTATAATGTGTATATAAATAAATAAATATAAATATTTACTAACAATCACGCCACGTTAACTGGTCCCGTGCTAAGTTCGTAAAGAACTTGTGTTACAAGTACCAGATAACGGAAATAAATATAATATTTTTATTATACACATACATATATTTAATATACACCCATAACCCTGGAAAGACATTTATATTTATCATACAAATATCTTCCCTTGGCGGGATTCGAACCCGCGACCCCCTTGTGTAGTGACCATGTCACTTACCACTACACCAGACGGCCGTATGACATTATAATGTGAACCATGTGGACTGTATCGAAACACGAAATGGAAATCTTGATTGCATTGTATAGCAGTAGACAACGGCTTGTCTGTGCCCTTAATATTGGCGTCTATGAGAATGACCTCTCACCGTCAGTTGGGCTGTATGCTCGTCTGTCTACAAAGGAAATACGAAAAAAGATGTACAGGTTTCTAATACGGCTACGACCAATATTTACGCTTTTTTTTTATACGTAACGAGTGTAGGATTACTTATAGCCCGGGGGCCTTTCCAGTTTCACCAGGACAGGTGGGCGAGCAAAGGCTCAGCCAGGAGGGGTGGGATTGGCTAACAGCTGCCCGAGCGTCTCCGAAGGAAATCTGCCAACTCAAGAGCAACTGCTTCGCGAATGAATCTACTACCGGATGATGCATGGGTTAGGTTGCACGTCGACCTCTTTGTTGAATTCGAAGAGTACGGTTATCGGGGTCCCTAAGCCTGCTCTTAGAGCTAGAGCTGAAGGCGTCTAATGATGGAAATTGAATTGAAACTGATGGATCCGTAAGCACATGTCTAGGGCGTGAACGGTGACTGGCTCCTGCGTGATCAGGATTTGGAAAGTAAGCAGCTGCGGCAACGATAAGGCGATTATGATGACGCGTAACCTTATCGAAGTACCGTTGCGACGCTGACTTCATGTATTTCCGGATTGATTCGAGGCCCTGGTCGTCGTGTAGGTCAACGTTCCCCAAAAACCATGGAGCTCCGACGGCTAGCCTCAAAAGAGTGGAGGAGAGTACGGATTGGAGGGTGGAAGGGTTTTTTATTGTATAG